TAAAAATTCATTTCTTTTAAAATCAATGTTCTACCTTCGCATTTATTTCTAGCGTCAGATGCTAATTCATTAGCTTTATTTTTTGCTTGATCGATTTTCTCTGATGCTTGTTCGTTCAATTCAGCTCCTATTCAATGAAAAAGAATTTTCAAATAATATTCTATTCAATTAAATAGGGTTGCTTATTTCTTTTTCTACCTTTTTCTTTAGCTTTATCGGTTGTTTCTTCGGCTAGATAATGAAATAAGAAAAAAAAAACATGTTTTCATGATTATCTTGTTTTGATTTTTAATAAAATTTACCCTTCGCTGTAGCTTCGCCTGCGAATGCAGTAAGACTATGGCAAAAATATTCAACACGCAATTAGAGAGAAACAATTTTACTAAAATAAAAATACCTATGAATAGCTTCTTGTGCTGATTGCATAGTAGCTGTACCGACTTCAGAAGCTTTTTCAGCAGCCTAAGAAATGAAAAGAATATATCAAAACTTAGTAAAAATAATTAAGAAAAAAAAACCAACTAACCCATTGTCCAGCAACACTAAGTTTCTCACCAACAAAACTAGCTGCATTAGCAGCAACTTCTGGAATATTTTGTACAGTTTCAACGACCTAAATAGTTATATAAATATAAGAAAAAACAAATAAGTGTAAAACTTTCTTTAGTAAACATATCTATATAGTGAACATCGTCATATAGTTCTATGGTGAACACTTCTGAAAAGTCCGAAGGATGCCCACTATATAGAGGTTATACTACTGTATTTGAACTTACAGTATGTCCAATTTCTTGAACTTTTTCAACTGTAACATCTTTAGCATGAATAGCTGTTCCAATGATAATATTTGTTGTAGTTTCAGCAGTATTTTTAACTTCGCCAGCTTTCTTTGAAGCATCATCAGCTAATTGAGCGCCTAAAAATGAAATTAATGCAATAAATTCGTTCGAAAAATTAAGCAAATTCTATATACCAGCTTCTTTCGTTTGTTCGATTTTTTCATTCACTTTGGGTTTTATTTCATTAACTTTTTGTTGTGCGGCATTTTTAACTTCACAGGCTTTCTCTGAAGCATCATCAGCTAATTGAGCACCTAAAGAAAAAAAGATTAAGATTTGATAAATAATTGGTTTGATATATAGATGTTAGAATTATTGTTAGTCGTATTGAAAATTTGTACCTGTCTGTTTAGCATCATTAATAGTTTCATCAGCTTTAAGTTTCATTTCATTAGCTTTTTTATTTGCAGCATCTTTTACTTCATGAAACTTGTCTCTAGCTGCATCGGTAGCTTCACCAGCCTTTTCTTTTATTTCAGTACCTGATAGTTAAAATTGGATATAGATGACGATAGTTAAAAGGTTTTCTTTTCTTTTATACCTTTTTGTTCTGCCTGATGTTTCCATTCAGCTTCTTTTTGTTGAGCATCATGCTTTATTTGTTCTTCCAGTTTTTGTCCTATTTCAATCAAATACAATAAAAATTTATTGAAAATAAATATTTACAAAAAAAAAACCAATTCAACCAGTAATTAAGATTTTTTTTTTTGTAGACATTAATTTAAGTACAATTTATTATATGAACTAAATTAGGCATGCATTGAGTTTGAACATCGGGGTTCAATGAGTTCGAATTCACCCTTGATCAGAGTTATTTTTAGTTAAATAATAAAAATAAGTAGAAGTAAACCCAAAGAAGGGATTTCATGATTGATTACAAATAGATCTCCAAACAGAAGAATGAATGATGAAAAAACTGAAGGGTTTCAAACATCCTAAAAATAAGTCAACCATATTCCGAAATATTCGAACTTGATCAAAACTCAAGATTCATCTATGAATGTTTATATACTTAAAGAAACACTTAGGCAATTACCTAAATACTCAATACTGTCTGAAGTGATTCGATAGTTCGCGAACACCGAACTAGAGTTTATGTTATATACATGCATAAACTAAATTAATATATTCGTGTTCATAAATTTGGCTTTAGCTTACCATGAGTATGAGCTCCTGTAACTGTAGCATGAGCATTAGAAGTATTTGCGTGTTGATTATAATAATTATTTGACATCCTTCTATGTGTATATTAATAAAAAAGAAATATCTGAAAACTAATTAAAAATAATACATTAGTATTGTCCTGTGCGTCTTAATACATATAATCGAACATAGCAAGTAAATGCGTACACATCTATGTTTACTCCTATTTATATATTCTCTCTATTCTTAAACAAAACAATATACATTAGTCAGTTCGTCAGAGTGTATTCTCGATTGAAGTGAATCATAGTCGTAGAATAAGAGAGAGAAAGAAAAACAAGATTTTGATGTAGCAGCTTAAATTCATTACAACTAACATTTTTTTCTTCTTTTTCTTCTTTTTCTTTCTCGATCTTTCGCTTACAACAAATACCACTACGCATCGACTGCACTCAGCAACCTTTCGAATGACGAGAAGAAAAAGTTATAGATTAGAAAAAAAGCGAGAAAGAGGAGAAGACAAACGCTGCTACCACATGACGATTAAGTCAGAGAGTTAAAATCAACACGAATAGAATATTCTTTTTTCTCTATTTGAAATGATCATGGCAATAGCTCAGCATTCTGTTTCACCAAGTTGCTTAGTTTTTCTTTTTTTTTCTAGGGTTCCTTTTCCTTTGTCTTTTTCACTCGTTGCGTCGTCCGTTATATGTGTCTCGCGCTTTAGTCAAAGAAAGGAAGGCAACGACGCAATGCACTTACACTCTCTAAACTCATAGAGAATGTAAGAATATCAAATAGAATGTAATGTGCGTGTGTACGTGTCTTTATTTTCAAAGTAAATAGAAAGTATTAAAAAAAAAAAGAAAAGACGACATTTTTATTGTTAAATTATATTCCAATTAACAACCTTGAAATTTAGCTTCTCGTTTTTCTCGAAAAGCATTTCGTCCTTCAATAATATCATTGGAATTTCTACATGCATCAATGGCTGCTTTTATAGCTAAATCATCGTTTCCATTTTCAATCATTATTTTAATTGAACGTACGGATAATGGAGCATTACATGACAATGTTCTAGCTAAATCTAATACATATTGATCTAAATTATCATGATTATCACATACATATTGAATTAGTCCTATAGAATGAGCTTGTTGAGCAGATATTCGATCACCTGTATAAAGTATCATTTTAGCATGAGATTCACCGACTAATTTAATTAAACGATCAATTATATCTTTCGGACATGGTAAGCCTAATTTAACAGCTGGTATACTAAAAAGAGCATTTTGAGATGCGATACGAATATCAACATTCATAGCTAATGCAAGACCACCACCTAAACAATAACCATGGATTTTTGCAATAATAGGCAATGGGAATTGAAGAAGTTTAATACGTATATTTGGTACTGTATGATCAATATCTTCATCTTCTTTTTCGGATAAATCAGCACCTGAACAAAATGATATTTGACCATGACCAGTTAATATTAATACTCGAATAGTATTATATTTAAGAAGACAATCATCTAATATATTTGATAAACCTAACCACATTTGATGTGATATTGCATTACGTTTTGATGGATTATTTATTGTAATACATCCAATATGAGATGATTTGTCGAGAATATCGAATAAGATAAGACCAGATGCATATTCTTTTCTAACAAAAGATTCACTCATTTGTCTATAATATTAAAGAATCAATTATGTATACTTATGATTAATATATTAAAAAAAAATATTTTAATTCTTCTCTTCTAATCAAAACAGTATAAATAGAATAAATAAAACGGTAAAATATAAATGTTTTATTTATAGGTATACTTGAATTTAATCCTCAATTAGCTGGTCAAGATATAACTCCAGCTAATCTTGAATTTGGTTCAACAGCATCTCGTCGTCGTGAACGTCGAGGAAAATCTTTTAGTGGTGCATCTGCGTATCAAGGTAAAATTTCAAATATTCAATTATATTAAATATTATTTTTCTAATTTAGGTAATCAACCATCATTTTATTCTCATCAACCATCATTATTTACAACAGTTAATGATGAATTAGCTCCACTGGTTTGTACAACGAATATTTGAATTTTTTTCAGTGAATTTCTTTCTTTTTAAGGCACGTCAATCTCAATCATTTGATCCATATCAATCAAGTGTTGAATATCGTTTACAAGAATTAACTAAGTAATTATATATTTATTTATTTTCTTAAAATAATTTTTATTTTGTTTATATTTAGACGATTATCTGCATTAGAAACAAAACTAACTGAAGATGTATCTACTGTTCTTTCAATACTTCGACGTCAATTTCCAACAAATAATTTATCATTATCTTTATCTTCAACTGATATATTAAAGACTAGTACTTAAAAAAAAGAAAACAAAAATCTTCTGTGATAAGCTATTTCTCTTTCTCTCTCCCTTCTTGTGTTTTTTGTTGCACTTTGAAAATATTGAACTGATAAAAAGGAAAAAAAAACATGGATTAATTTTATCTCTTAAATGTTTGTGTTTATATAAGTTCCGTCCTTTTGTTACCCCTTGTACCTTCACGTCGACCGATAGCAATATGTATTTTGTTTTGTGTATTAAATAAAAAGAAAAATAATTGCAATATAATATTAATGGTATGATCTGAAGACTGATGTTTTGAATGTACTTATCTTCTCGTGTTTATTACTAAATGCACTATGTAGTGATTTTTTTTAACAATCGAATCATATATTAAGATTTATATATATATATATAATCAGAGTCAGCGTAATTTGAATAGTATTACTGCTAAATATTATGCTGATCAGTTTTAGAAAAATGAATAGATGACGCTCTATGCTAATTATTTGTGGCAGAGACAGAATGTTACCTATACTATCAAAATGCATGAAAATTGTATAATTCTTAATAAATCATCAGTTTTGAATGTAGATCACATGAAAACTAGTCTAGTTCAATTCTCTATATTCATAAAGTTTCTGATCAAAAGTCGAAAATGTATGTGGAATCCTACAAGAACTTCTAGAAAAAAGACATATTAAAACATACATAGCTGAGTTAAATCTCAATAGAAAACCAAATCCTTTTAGAGCTCTGATTAGAACACTGTCATATCTATAGACAGGTTCCTTCATTAGTTTCCGAATTTGGTTATTTATGATAAAGATGACACTAGTTAATGACATTAATAAAATAGAGAAAATAAAAATGACCAAGATGAAAATATCTTATAATGACCTTGTAAGCTATTCCTATTTTTTCTCTAAAATTCTCTTTGTCATTGACTCGGTTATAAAATGACCTGAGCAAATGCATTAATAGGTTCAGTTTAGAAATGATGGAGTGTGTGTCATCATTCGTATTAAACAAGTAGATCTTAACCATCACTTGTGGACTCCTTTAACCGGTGCTCAGAATCACTTAAAGAAAAAAAAGTATAGGAAAAGTATATTATTGAGAAAAAAAAAAGATGATAGCGTTAAATAGATGGCGCTGTATGTTGTTAACACAAATTGCAAACATATCAAATTTTTATTTGATTCGAATTTGTTTGCAATGTAAGAAAAATTTGAGATTTATATCTCAAATCATCTAGACATATTTAAACTAGTTATTTCAATTAAAAAACAGCTTTTTCCTTTAAAACTTAATTTATTTTCTCATAGAAAAAATTCATTTTCATGTATTTCTTTTACTACAAAAAGAGAATTTTCAATTAGAATTTTTTTTTTAAGTAGCACAAGTTTTTATAGTTATTTATGAATTATGATAAATAGATTAAGAATGTTTTTTTTGAAAAAGTTGATTTATTTTGTGTTAAAAACTTCTAATAATTTTGGATTTATCGATAATAATTTGATCGACGTAAATTATATATTTTACTTTGAATAAATGAATGAAATTCTCACTAAACATCAACATTAGATTTTATTCAATTACTAAGTAAATAAAATCCAAAAATATTCTATCTTCCATGCACCAAAATTAAAGATTAAACAAATAAAAACTTTATTCATTAGTGCAAACGATAGTTGTATTTTATTGAAATTATTTTAAATATATCGATAGATAAAAATTTTGAATACTATATTCTATAGATTTAGGGCTTCCATTTATATTCTACTTTAAAGTGCAGTATCTCATTTTGAGTTCATGCATTTCATAAAAAAAACTGTACCTCTGAGATACACAATATGCAGCATATTCGGCCATTTTCTCCTCTAGTAAACATAATGAACAGTATGTTAATAAAAATAATGAAGAATATTTGCTTCAGCCACATTTTTTTTTGTTTATTCATAGAATACGATTATTGTTATCCTATTATTGCTTAGATTTACTACTTATTCTAATTTGTCATCTCGAAGATCAAAATTAAAGTAAAGTTTAATAGATCAATAAAAGTAAAACGTGAATGTTTTTGTATATTTGTAAAAATTTAGCATGAACTAATAAAAATACAGTTGTATAACTAACATATTGAAGTCAATTAGGATGAAAAAACCACATTTATGTTATTGAATGATTGTTCATTTTAAACCTTGAAGTAAAATTACACCAAAACTGTTTTACTTCTAAACTTCCTTTTATTTAAAGATAAACATCGATAAGATCCCGTACAAAAATGTTGAACAAGGCTTCTTACTAGAAACATATTCTTATGAAAGTAGATTTTTTTACATTATATTCTCATATTTTAAAAACTTGCGTAACTATCACTATGCTTCATTAAAAATAACATAGCTGCACGGGTACCTCATCTGAGACCGACAATATTCCATTAGAACTTAGTGATATAGTACCGTGTATAGATTACATGTAAAAAGTGCTCGTAGGATAATATTAAGAAAGACTACAATATTTTAACAGGTTTATGATTCAGACTGCTAAGTCACGTCGATAGAGCAACATGTCGCCGCTAGATATGTGCACGGGACCAAAAATATTCTCTGCTGGTTCTGGTCGTTGTATTTGCTAAATCAATTGATAAAGAGAAGACTCGTGATGTAGTTCAAGATATGTATAGAGGCTGGAAGTGCCAACATTTTTGTATAACATACGCAGTCAAACATGAGTTTAACAATGTACTTAATAAAACAGCAGCCACATCTTTTACTAGGAACATAACAATTTTCTTGATTCCGTGCACATCTCTAGTCATCACATACTTTGTTAACTTTCACGTTCATTATTTAATCACCTATATCTACGGGACAGACAGAAATGACAAATTATATTTTTGAAAATGTACTAGAATTATTCACTTCAACTATATTATGGTGGACAGTTCTAACTTCTGATCAATACCTTAGGAAACTCATAGAGGAATAAACATATATAGATTTTATTAAAACAATTTTTCGAGTGAAAGACAGTCTTATCATTAAAAGATAATCTTACAAAAGATATAAATTTGATATTCTAAAATATTTGTTTTTTGGCTTACGAAATTCGTTAAAAATACATCAAAGTTATATTAAATTCTGAAATAAACTAAAACAAAAGCATTACTGTTACAAATGTGTTCAATGCTGATTGCGAGTTCAGTTAGAATTTACTTATTGGCTATATATAGTATAGGACTTACTTGACAATCAGGGCTGCCATATCCTAATTTTCAAATGAGTACGCCAAATTTCAAATGGGATGTAGCTAGGGTACAATTGTTTTTACGATGAGGTACATAACTTTTGTATGACAGAAAAGTTAGTTAGAAAAAGCCTGCGAAAAGAAATTGTTTTTCTAGAAAATAGCATCACATTCAACTTTTTTCATTACAAATCAATTTTATCATTCATTTTTCACAAAAAAACACTTTCACACTTAACAATCATGACTTTAAAAACAATTTCATTATAGAAATCAATACAAAATTTGTTATTAATACATGATAAATGTTGAAATCAGTTAGGACAAGTTCTTTTTACATATTAAGACTTGTCTTTACTTCGAGCATACTTGATCAAATCTGGCCCATGTTGTTCAAATGTAAAAAATCACTAAATTTCATCTTAAAGCAAACCTTGTTTTTATTCGGCACCTATATTATCACTTAGAATCGAATTTCGACTACCTGTCTATGAATGTTTCATATGACTAAAAACACCCTCTCTGGATGCATTAGAACAAAGAATTGAATAATACATAAGAAATAACTTCTGATTTTTCGTCATAATGTCTTGTATTTATTGCCACTAAAACAAAGTCGAAAACCAATCGAGAATACGTATGGCATGTGAGGTAGGTGAGAATGAGGGCAAAGGCTACACTCACACCCTCATCATTCATTCAGTAAGAACTTGAATATAAATCAATTTTATTGATATCATGCCTAGTCAAATGTGACGTTAAAATAAGAAAATAAACTAAAAAATAAAAGATGCGTCGAACTTTGTTTTGATCAAAAAATAAAAAGGTTAAGAGAACCGAATAAACCGAAATAGATGCCAATACTCGTTGTTCAATTTTTCATCAATATTGTTCACTTTGAATATCTCCACAGCAATATCATGAGTTCTATTGAAAATTACAGCTCATTTCAATTATAGACCA